CCTGCGTCGTCTGGGGGTTGAGGCCGCAAGTCTGTCCAAACAAACCCTACCCAGAAAGTTTCTACTGCCAGGTGCTACGGCCTATGGAATTAAATAGTTAGACTGTACCTAATGCCTCAGAGGCAATCACGTAGAAACGTAGAGTAGAAACTTTCTGGGTAGGGTGTGTTTGGACAGACAAATTTCCTATCCTGACAAATTTCTGGGATAGGATCCTTCGCTGTCCCTTCTCTTATCTAACTTCCTTTAGCCTTGCCCCATACCTGCAGTCTGTCTCTAATAATACTCTCCTCTCTAAGTCCCACGCTTCTGGGTCCAAAGGTTGGGCAATTTCTGTTGCCCTTGGGTAGTTTCGGACAATTTCGGCACCAAATATCTTCTCTTACTATATATATATAAAAGGCAATATATCGTGGAGTGGCTAACACATCTGGAACTCATGCATCCATTATGCTTGCATTCTATCGTCGAAAATATGGTTCACCAAAATCCCAACCCGATTTCAAGAGGCTCAGCTCATAAGGGATTGTCATCCTCTGCCGTTTGACGATGACTTTGGAAAGGACAGTCGGTCACAGCTGAAATTTTGACTGTGGGGGGGGGGTCGCATGTGCAAGTACAAATATGTGAAATATATATCAATGACGCGTTTATAAGAAATTCAACGTGTTCTTTGTTCTTCGAGGCAGCGAATGGTCAAAAATCACAAGGATAAAATGTTTTAGAGACTCGAAAAGAAAAATTCGAGAGGATCGTATAGAATTATATTAAATCACTATGTGGAAATTCTACTGAGATTCCATAGAAATTCTATCAAGAATCTTACCAGATTTCTATAGAATTCTACGAAGACGTTGTAAAGAATTCAGAATTGTTATATAAATATATAATAAAAGCCTATAACTAAAGGGCTGTATTGACTTCTTTTGCGTCACTGTCGAGAAACCTTACTAAATTTATAATGAATATAATGAACTTATGTAGAGTCAATGGGTACAAAATCTATTAAAAGCCCATCAAATTTCTCTGGAAGTAAGTAGATGCAAATAATGTTCCCAGAGGAAAAGATAAATTATTAAAGGTAGCCTTTTTGTCCTTCGACTATCACCTCTTCCAAAGGTCATACATAATTTTTTACAGAAGGAGAAGAACCTTCTAGATGCCTCATACCTGATGAATTAATGGCGAACTTGTGAAAGCATTGGAGTATTCTGATGGAGGGATACGGCGTAGTCGCGAACGGCTGGAAATCCTCATGGGGTTCATGCATCGGAGAGTCCTTCCATCTTTTGTGGTGGTGTAATTTTAAAGAGCTGCATCGACTGGGATCGGGCTGTAAGACGAAAATGTACTTTGAGATACGAGAAACTGGACGAACCAAAACGTCTACATCTGGCCTCCCATCTTCCCATCCGGGAGACCAGAGCCTCGAGGCCTCCCATCTTCCCATCCGGGAGGCCAGAGCCTCGAGGCCTCCCATCTTCCCATCCGGGAGGCCAGAGCCTCGAGGCCTCCCTGGCTCGTAGGCGATGGATGAGGGGATCGCATAGCGAACGCAGTGCAGAAAGGAGGCCGGCCGCCTCGGTTGCGTCACGCAGAACGGGAGACTGCAAGCGAGTACAGATTCCTTTGCCGAAATTAGAAAGCTGCTCGGTCGTCCTAATCTTCTTTACCGATTCGTACCCATGCAGTTTCCACGAATGAAGAAGACAGAGGATATATACTTCGGGATCATTATATTTGCCAGGTGAGCAAAACGCGATTCTGTTTTGTCTCGAATACTCGCAAAGGAAGTAAGTCGTGGGACCGATGATTTTTCTCCTCGGACCGGACGCGCCTCTACTCTTCGAGTGTTCCACGGATGTTTCAATTTCCGCTCAGGGCTGTATTCACGGAACATTCTTACGAACTTTTTCTTCGTAAGAAGAGAAAATTTCGTAAGTGGGATTCACGAAACATTTTTGCCCAAGATGTTTGTACGATGTCGATCTTCGTACGCAATTACGAAGAATGCTGCTCAATTTCGGAATTCACGAAATCGCCAAAGTTCGTATTATTCTTCGCGAGTCCACGAATGGTCTCGAGGTATCGTAAGTGGCCACAATAATGACGTCGAGGCGATCTGCGGAACTCTCTTTGGGTGTCTCAATTAAGCCGAGGTTCATCCTGTCAACCGAGCGGTTAACAGGACGTATGTTCTCGGGATTCGCAACATTTCGTCTCGGAGGTCACGAGGTTATTCGCATTCATCCGGTGTCAGAAAAGTAAGACGATATCGCTCCGGCAAAACTCTTTTCCCCCTCGATCGTTGAAAAATCTTCGGACAGAGATCAGACGGTGGGGAAGATGGCGATCTTCCGCCTGTCTCCCCGAGAAACTGAACTCCTTTCGCCTTTGTACGTCGCTTCGGGTCCGTGCAGCGGAGAGACGGCTCGCTGTCTCAGTCTCTAAATCCCATGTTCGCGATTTCATTTTTCCCATTTCGCTGGAGCCGAGTATCTCCAGGAAGACATTCTTCCTTCGCTCGACTCCTTCGACGAGCACCCCAATTTCCCAACCGGTGAAATTCGGTCGTCGACCACTCTCTCCTCTGCTCTCCGTGATACGAGCGTTGACACTGCGCTCGGCACCTTTCGTTGGGCATTTCTGAAACTTTTTTTTTACTACAGCGAGATTCAGTGGGTACCCTCTTTCAGGGTGTTTTCGAAGATCCGACAGGATCTCCAGTCGTGTTAAAACTTCCCGTAAGAGCAAAAACAACGGCACGGAACGCGCAGAAAGTTTGCAGAAGGCTCCTACGACATGGGGAGTCATGCTTCCAGCGCGAGAACCACGTTGCTTTCTACTCGGCGATCGGTTTGGTGGCTCCCGAGCTCGGTTATGATTGGCTGGCTCGTTATCATTGCTACGAAGTTTCATGAATGCCAACAGTGATCGTAAGAATATCGCATTCTTACGAAATTTTAGCAACGTATCGGTCCGAATGAGACGAAGTCGGGGAGTCCCCAGGGTGAAGCCGACCGACCGCTTCCATTCCTGGTTTACACGAACGATCCTCGCGAGTAAAATCGGCAAATTAACCCGGCGAAACGAAAATGAACTTCTCCATTAGGGGGAGGACGAAGGGGCGAGAGCCGAGGGGATTAGAGCCTTCTGCAAACTTTCTGCGCGTTCCGTGCCGTTGTTTTCGCTCTTACGGGAAGTTTTAACACGACTGGAGATCCTGTGGAATCTGCGAAAACACCCTGAAAGACGGTACCCACTGAATCTCGTCGGTAGTAAAAACTACCTCGAGGCTTCAGAAATGCCCAAGGAAGAGTGCTGAACGCGGTATCAACGTTCGTATCATGGAGAGTAGAGAGTGGTCGACGACCGAATTTCACCGGTTAGGAAGTTCTCACCAGTTAGGAAGCTCATCGAAGGAAGGATGTCTTGCTGGAGAAACTCATCTCAAGCGTTATGGGAACGCGCGATACCTCGAGACGTTTTACTCGCGAACTTTTGCGCTTTCGTGAATACCGAAACCGTGCGGCATTCTTACGGACTGCGTACGAAGATCGTACGAACGTCTTACGCAAAAATGTTTCACGAATACCAATTACGAACTTTTCTTACGAAGAAAAAGTTCGTAAGAATGTTTCGTGAATCCGGCTAGAACTTTTGGACTCGTCCAGTAGATGCCGTCCCTCGAAGGGCAACCGAATGGGCAACTCGAAGGGCAACCGAAAGCAAAATGGGAGGTCTCTGAATGCCTTTGGCGAGGAATGAGTCAAAAGGGAGAACGCCATGCGAAATTCGCGTTCTCCGCGGCAATGAGAGGATTTCCGGCCGATGCCGCCAAGAGCCGACGCGATTTTCTCGCGTCGCGTGGTGAGATCCCATCTCGAAATGCACCGTCTTCGATCGCGGCTCGTGGATGGGTAAAGAAGTGAAGAACGGGCGTCGAGAACCACTCTTCTGTGCTTGCCACATCTTATTACCTTTACGGCTGGGTCGTTTACATGGGCATGGCCATCTCATCGTCACTTTGAAAAGTGACCCTTCCTCGTGCATCGGTCGGCTGACCGATGCGCAGTTGCGACTGATGGAAACCGATTCCATATCTTCCTGCGAATCTCTTCGCGTTGCATTTACTCTCGTCTGCAAATTAGTACCGCGCCGAGACGACATGCGACGGAACGGACTTGCGACGGAACGGGCTTGCGACGTTTCGTCCGCGACCGTTTAGGTCGCGACGAAAGCGCCGTCTACGGACGATTCCGGTCTCTGTCAGGTTTGGCTGCGAATAGATCTTGTCGATGCACGCACGATGCAACGACCCGATCATTTTTTTTGGTCCACCTGTCCAAAAGCAAAATCACCGAATCGGAAATTTACCTGGTCTACTTGACTTGCCGGCAAATATATGCTTCAACAATTTAAAAAAATATTCACGGTAAGTTATCGAAGAAATCAATGTTTATTCAGAAGCTGCAGTGAAGGCCTTGAAGGCGGTGAAGGCCTTGAAATAATGAAGAAACTTCAATTGGTGGACGTCCAAGAAATAATGAGGCTTCTGCACGAAGGCGACAACCTTTCCAGCCAAAATCGAACCAATAAATACTAGTATCGACCGAGTGACCCTTATGCCAAGTAACAAGGACCTTTTCGCCTTCAAACCGTGATCAAGGCCAGTATCGGAAATGCACAATACCCCGGTTTAACCCGTAAACGCAGAGATTACACGTAATTCAGAAATGAAACATTTTGCATCGCCATCGCACAGTTCTGCTACGGGGGGAAATGGTACCGGGTGTCCCAAAAGTCACGCGACCCAGAACCTAAAAATGTACATTAAATTAATGAGGAGAAGTACAGTGACGAGACTAGTCTTCTTTGGAAGTTGTGGTAACATTTTTTGAATGCGCAAAAAATCAACGACGTGAGATTGAAATAGGTCACAAATTAACACTCGATCCATTCCAGATGCATTTTCCGGAAAAATCATGCGATGCGTTTGGCACTCTGGAAGATCGAAGATGACGAAGTACCGACGAAGTACCGACGAAGTACCGAAAGTCTCCGCCCGCGATGTCGCGCTGTAAATTGTTTGTAGTCGATGGAGGAGTTAAGAAGGCTGTCGGGTCATTTTAGCCGGAGACTCATCCTTAAATGAACTCTTCGAAGGTGGTGATCCTCGCATGCAACCACCTTCTGATGAAAAATTTTAGTGCTTTTTTACCCGGTGGTTAGACGCGGTAACCACCGAACGTAGATCTACCCTTACACGCCCGATGGCACTGGCCTTTTTTCACGCTCGATAAATCACGAGTAAACAATTTCCGTGTTTGAGGAGGATTAACCGCGCGCTCCGGAGAGTTAAGAGTTGGATTGTGACGAAAACGCATGAAATGAGATTAAAATGGAGCTTCGCGGCACAGACCCTATTTCGTGTAGAGATCTTATTTTGGCTTCCGAGGATCTTTCATCGAGAATTTCGGGGGGAAAAAATTTTAAAACCATTTTATGGCTCCGAAGAAGGCCGTTGCATCGCTGCAGAATCGCTACAGAATCGCCGCAGAATCGCCGCAGAATCGCCGCAGAATCGCCGCAGAATCGCCGCAGAATCGCCGCAGAATCGCCGCAGAATCGCCGCAGAATCGCCGCAGAATCGCCGCAGAATCGCTGCAGAATCGCTGCAGAATCGCCGCATGTGAAAGCAGTCGCGAACCCTTCATCGATGTCGTACAGTTGTGGATCGAAACCATCAACCAATTACTTACTCGAAGGTTATGCAGGGATGTACGAGAGCATGCATGAATTCCACTTTCTCTTTATTGGCATCTTTGAAAAATTACATTCCAAAATAGAGGTTATTTCCTCAAGATAGTGCGGTAAGGACACGCGTTACCGACGGCTCACCAAAGAAAAGCAGGCGTTATCATGGAGGCAGAGAAGAAGTCGACCGGTTCAATCCCTAAATAACCCGGGCTAATTACGGATAGTCGGCCGTCGGTTTACCGTCGTCGGTTTTTATGCGGTCATCTAAACTGGACTCGGTTCCTCGAACGGGTTTGTCAGCGTCACCACTGGCGGTCGATTGAGCGGGCGTTCTTCTGGAAATTCTCCTTCGAAGGGGGGCTGGAAGCTTTCGTCTGGTCTCCTCGCGCCCCCGGGTTCATTCCACGGCCGATTGCTTGGTAGATTGCTTGGTCGATTGCTTGGTCGATTGCTTGGTAGATTGCTTGGTCGATTGCTTGGTCGATTGCTTGGTCGATTACTTGGTCGATCGGAAGGACGTTCTTGTGAGAATTCCTCTTCGAACGGAGGCAGAAATCCTTTCTCCGGTCTCCCTTCGCCTTCAGGTTGGTTAGACGGCTGATTGCTGGGTCGAGTGGAAGGACGTTCTTGTGGGAATTCCTCTTCGAACGGGGGCAGAAATCCTTCCTCCGGTCTCCCTTCGCCTCCAGGTCGATCGCTCGGTCGGTTCGTCGGTCGAGTGGAAGGGCGTTCTTGCGGTGGAGGCGTTTCGCTCTCTGCTAGTGGAGGGATTCGAAAGGGCAACCCGTCTCTTCGGTGATGTCGATCTCTTCCGGGACCTCTACGCCGTTTACGATCGTCTCCTCCCGGTCTCCGTTCCGCTTCGAAGTCGACTTCCCCCAGTCGTGCCGCGAGCTCCTCGTCCGACGTGCCGTCGCTTCCTCGCTCGCATCGTTCGATCTCGTCCTCTCTCCCCCGTCTTCGTAGGTCTTTTCTCATCTCGTCTCCGAACTTCTTCAGCTTCCCCCTGAGAATACACCGGTCACCCGTGCCGACTGTCACTCCAGCCACTGTAGTCCCATCTCCACGTTAAATTTAAAGTTTCGAAACTCGTTGCGTCAGCCGAACTCCACATACTGGCGGCAAAATATTTCCCATGTTGCGTTTAAATACGAATACCCTGTAGATAGAGATCTTTTACTTGTAAATTATTCGTATGGTACTTATTTACCGGGCTTGAAAAATTCCCTTGTGGAAAATTGGCTGTTCGTAGCAAAAAAAAAAATCATTACTTCTAGATGATAATGCTAATATGATATATCAGAAGCGAAATTCGGCTCAGCAAGCAAAGCATTCAATTATTTTCACTGGCCCGTTTCCTTGAGAGACATCATTAGTATAATGAAACCTTTCCTTAAACGCACTAAAGAAAAAAGAACAGAAATATATTCGTGACAACTCTTGCACCCTATATAACTTGAGCTTAGATAAGCACCATAGAAGCCAATCTAAACAAAAAAGTAACATATTGAAACTGTTATATTATTTTTACAAAAAAGGGAGAAGGAAGTATTACAACAGCATTACGACAAGTAGATCGTAAGAGCATGGGATTATCCATCCCTTGCTCGTGGCACCTTTCTACGCAGAGCTAATTAATGAAAATGTTCTCTTATGTGATTAATATAATTAGATCATGACAGTCTGAAGCTGAGAGAGAATGACTTCCTTCTTTTACGCTTTTATCCACGTTCGATGTCAGCCCGAGACGTCTTTCTGGACGAGGAAGAAGCAATGGTAGCTATTTCCGAATCCGCAACGGCAGAAACCGAAGATGTTCAGTGCATTTACTGCATGCATATCTTTTTCGGGTTTGCACAATAGGTGCTTATCATGTGTGATCAGCAGTGTCTAAAGGGGGGGGGGGGGGGGGGGACCTTAAAGTCTGAAGGCTTTTTTTTTTGGGCTTCATGTGATTCTTACTCTTCAACGATAGCTGAGGACGTCATCTGTTACTGAGAAAGTTTTTTGGCTCGACAGACGCGAGAGGATGAGGCTCCTCTCGATCCGACCTTTCGGTCTTTACCCGACGAAGGCAATGAAAAAACGAATTGCACTCGACCGACCCGGCTTTCCCAAAGAGCCCCTCTCGCCCCTCTCGCCCCTCTTGCCCCTTTTGCCCCTCTCGGTCGGCGGTGAGTCTGAGGACGCCGCAGATGCCTGCCGGGCCCAAGGGAGCGAGGAGGGCGATGATGAGGTCGCTCGTCTTCCTGCGCTTCCCGTCCCGGAGGATCCGCTCTCCCGAGGCCGGAGGAAAACTGTAGGGGGAAAGAGGGAAAAGGGAACAAATAAACGGGAAGATATCGAAGTAGGGCTGTTCAAAGGAACGGTCGCAGCCTTTACCCTTATCTGATTTTTTATACGAGGTATATATTGGTCTCAATAGCAATAGGAACTCGACCTAGATATTTTTCTTTTGCTGTTGTCAATTGATTTCCATTACCTATATATAGTTTTATGCTAAAGATGCAGATTTATCGATTAGCTATTTTTAAGACCGACGGTCGATCTCCCATTCCACAAACCGAGGACCGATTCATCCCAGGCCTGAGTAATTTCTTTTCCGGGTGAACGCAACCGATTCTACCCGGCCGATCGTCTTTCTCTGAGTTCTCGGGAGAATCTCGTTCCAAAGACGCCGGGGCAGCTAAATTTCTTCTGACTTTCTGATTTTCGAACCCGAAGTCGAACGAACGTCTCGACTCTCCACGATCAGCCAGGAGATGGACCGCCGTGTCCATCCTTCGTTTGGACTCTGTCCACCCGGCGAAGTTTGCAACTTCATTTCAGGGCATCTGATGTATCAACGGAAAAGAGGAAAACTAGCCAAAAATCGTAGGAATGACACATCTTCGTGGCAATCGAACTTAAGACTTAGGTACGCTGGAGTATTTTTGAAGATGTTATTGGCGTCACGGCTTGCGGAAGATTACCTGGACTATGACCTGGCAAAGATGGCTTCTTCCATCGGAGGGGGGGAGGGGGGTGAGGAGGGGAGGGGGGGAAGGGGGGGAGGGGGTCCAAGGAACATCAGAGAGCTGTGATTCCGTTTTTGTGTGCAGAAGGTGCGAGACCACGTGATGTCGATCACAGAGCGGTTGCCGTTTATGGGGCGGCATGTTTCTTCTCGATTAGAGTATACGAATGGTGCAAAATGTGTCGTGGTGGACGCCTCTGCGTCGAGGACGAATCCCTTCCCGTCACGGACGCGAACGTCGCGAGGGTGGGCGAGTCGACTAGAGCGAACGGACGCGTGTCTCAGGATGCCACAGAAGCGGGGATCGGCCATGGGTCTGTGCACGCGATCGTAGCCAAGATCGCATCCGGTACGATTTGGTCTGCGCCAAACGGACACCGAAGTGCCCGACCGAAGACCAGAAGAACGTCCACATGGGTCTTCGTCTCGCACTCGTGCGGCGTTGCCATGCCGAAGGCGACGGCTTTTTGGCGGCCAGAATCGTGCACGCGATCGAACCCGGCGTCATCATTTCGAGCCCGAGTCGATAAGTACCGGCATGCTCGAACTCACCCACCCGAAATATCGCGTGGAACCGCTTCGGCCGCGTCTCGATGACCGTTCTCCTACTGGATCTTCTGCCCCACGAGGAACGGTCGACTCGAAGGCCCGGGCCTTGCCACGAAGAGCAAGCGCCCCGGACCATCGACGGACGCGATCCTTCTCCGGAACGACTCGGGACCTCGCACCGCTCGCGCGGCAGTGGCCGTCGTTCAAATGTTTCATCGGGAGATCCTCGACCGTCCTCCATACCGTCCGGACTCGTCACCGTGCGATTTTCCCACGTTCGACCCCATGAAAAGGCAGTCGGGACACGGTGCCACCAGATGCCGATGCCGTTTCACGACAGTGCCTTCATTCTGGTCGAGCGGAGGGACGAGTGTGTCGATCCCCACGGAGAGGATTTTCGATCGACGCTGCACGTATAGCCGATAGAAGTTAATGCTGTTTTCGTTTGACCGACCCTATTACTCGAAAGAAGTCCATTCCTTCACGAGCAGGGGAAAAATCCCCACCGAGCCAGAGCCACCGATGGGTAAAGAGAGCATCGCGGTGTTCCACGCGACCGGAGCGACATCTCTGCGATGTTCCACACGCATCGGGCCGTATCTCGCAGGAAACCCTCGGTCGTCCCGGGAACCCCGACCGCGGTTATCTCGGGTCTTATCGCCCCAGGCTTCCCCGCTCCATTTTGTGGATCACGTGCCGGATGTGCCGGATGTGCAAGGAAGCGACCAGTGAACGATACGGTGTCTCTCCCTGGCTGCAGCGATTGGATTTCGCTTTTTTTGTCCTCGATCTCAAGGTCGGTGGCGTTACACCTTTTGCAGTGTCGGATATTTTCCTCGAACGATTTGCGTCTCGTGAAGGGAGGGGAATACAGAACGCGTTTTAGAAGTCTCCTGTCGCGAGATTCGCGTCCGTCGCCCGAGGGGAAAGGAAGTTGAGGCAGCATTCAGCGGAATCGCTTTGAACTTTGCAGTCTCGGCTGCTTTGAATGCTGCGAAGAGAGAGACTTGCCCGTTCGTTCTTCATTTCTTGCCAGGAGGATATAATTAGAGGGAATAAGTAAGCATCCGATCCGTTAATAATAAATGAATTTCTTTGATACATTTTCGACAGCCTCGAGAAAATGAGATTAATAACGAATCTCCGGCATGCGATTCGCCACGTGAGCATTTTCCACAGAGAGTAAAAAGATAAGAAAACTTCGCTCCTAGTGCTTCTTTTCTGCGTTTGGCTCATCTCTGCAGAGATCGAGGTCATCGCGGAAAGGTCATCTGCTTTGAAGAGGAACGAGAAGGTGGGTGGGTGGCTGAGAAAGATATATCAAGACACGGATCTCGAATGAAAAGAAAATCTCTCATCCTCATCTTCAATAGTATGGAGGGAGGGAGAGAGGGGGAGAGGGAGGGAGAAAGAGGGAGGGAGAGTGCCATTACTTAATTACGAAATGAAGAGTGAAAGCGTGGGCTTTTTTTGCGACTCACGTGTCAAGAGAAAAGGCCAGGCAGGAGGAAATCGCGAGCAAAAGGAAGACAACTAGGTCCTTCATTTCTGCAAGAAAGGATATTCGCCGTCAGACGAATTCGCCGTCACTGCGAATAAACGAGGTGGCACATGAAGGATGCCAGGGTAAGCCACGCCGGGCCTCCCCCTCGCTTTTCTCTCACCGAGAATCCAAAGGAAAAACCTCGCCGACGGCGAACGCGCTCGCACCGTGGTACTCGACGACCGAGTGGATGTCGCCGCGAGAGCGGAGTGGATGTCGCCGCGAGAGCAGAGTGGATGTCGCCGCGAGAGCAGAGTGGATGTCGCTGCGAGAGCGGAGGGCAATCGCTGGGCGGACATCCACGTGATTAGCCTCTTTTGCTTCCAAGGTCACCTTTCGCTTTCGATGCCGCGTGATTAGAGTCGAATGCGAGGACGGTCCAACTCAATTTGGCGGGGATCGAATGATTTGGTTCGGATGCGTTTGGGGGCCTCACTAACGAATTTCACACCACATGCATCACATTTTTAATGCGAGCAAGTGATATTTGCAGCAATTTTCTGAAATCAACTGTTAAAGAGGACCAGGCCGGAGAAAATGAATTGGTCGGATCCGGCCCGCGGGCCACAGGTTGGACACCCCTGGTCGAGAGCAATGGCTACGCAATGCGAGCGAGTCTTCGGCTTTTCTTGCCTATCAGGCGTGAATTGACACACGGTTTTTGGAGCGATTTTGACTCTTCGGCTGCGAACTTGGGAAAATTTTGTCAGGGCAAAAAATGTCAACTACTTGAGGTTTCTAACGTAGTCTTGCGATGCCTCTAGTTCTTTACAGGAAACTTGGCAAGCTTTCTGGGCCGAGAATTTAAGAAGTGGCTGAATTGGAACGGATTCAAGTTCGACGAGAGGAAAGTTTTGGAGTGCGTGACCGAGTCACGTGTGCCTCCATGCCACCGCGCGGTTCTGTCTTCAGAGCCCTTCAATCATGTTGCAGGCCGCGAAAACACTCGACGTCTTTGAGCTCGATGGGATTGCTCGACCCCTCGAAGCCCGCGGAGATTCGACGGCGGGGGCGGGGGAAGACTTGCACGGGGGAGGACTCCGGGGAGGACTCGAGGGAGGACCCGGCCTTGCGCGCGCCTGGCCGCACGGGTAAGACTCGAGGAAGCGGGGACCCCGCGAGGGCGAAAAGGGCGAAGAGATCGAGAGAGAGACGTCGAGAAGGAAGGACTCCTCGAGTAGCTCATAGGACTCCTCGAGCAGCTCATCGGACTCCTCGAGCAGCTCGTACCAACCGCCAAGCCTTTCTCAAGGCCGACTCAGTGAGACTGAACGTGGAAGGAACCCGGCCTCGACTATCGTGCGGATGAGAATCATGCTCTGTAATCCCATTTTTCTTGGTGAGTTTCTTCGCTTTCCTCTGCAAATTTGGTCTTCAAGGTGCAGCGTGGTTTGGAAAAAAAAGATTAAACCATCTTAAAACCATCTCTTATGTCTATCTCATCTACATATCCGTCGTCTTTCAGCTTTTCCACCTTTAACTCTGCAATCGTACGGTCCAATTTGGCCCGATCGGGTCCGCCGAGGATTCTACGGATGGAAACTCGTTTTGCGACGAGGGAAAAACGAGTGTGCACTTTTGGCACACCCATTTGGCGACAGTTTGGGAGGTTTCGCGGCTGCCGAGTTATCGAACAATTTCAAATTATTTCCCAGAAAATTTTCAGGTGATATCAGCACCAAAATTCATATTTTTCGCCGAGAAATTTTTTCCAAATGGCAAATGCCAAATCGTTGCCAAACTTTCGTATTGAAATACGCCGATTGATTCTTCCGATGTGAATCGAGAGCATAGATCTTCCAAACCAAAAAGAACCAAATACTGTCCGGATAATCGAGTAGAAAACGCAAAAAAAAAAAAAAACATTCTAGATGGTACGTAATTAATAATATATCGATGCAATTGCATGCAATATTTTTTTCATTCCTTCTCGCCGCAGTTGCCATAGCAACCTGCATATTCTTTTTACTCTTCTCCTGTTGCCCAAGTTTGTTTCACGGGTGATGAAAAAAATAAACAATTGATTTCTTCCAAATATTATACAAGCCATTAATATTTGTGAAAAGTCTTTCCTGACGAATTTCCCGTTTTCTCCTTTGCACTATGACATCATTCGATCATCATCATCGTCAACCTTGCCGCTCGAAAAACCTTTAAAAAAAAAAAGCTTCATTGATGATGCTCAGGCGACAGCATCCGGTTGTAAAGTGGTGTCTGTGGTTGCCTGTAGCATCGTAATAGTTGTTGCCTGGTTGCCAGTGGAATGGCAGATCGATACCTGAGTTAGTACTCATTTTTTATATTATTTTTATCGTCAGGATAACCTTTCGGACGACCGACGTTTGGAAAATCGATGCTCTGCGGTTTTATGAAAATTTTCATTCTGCTGCAGGACGGAATGAGTTGCGCCAAAATGATTTTGCGCCAAAATTTCATCCTTTCGTGCGCGAAAGTGCGATATATGTGGAAATGAACATTTTTCTCTCTTTGAGCCGCCCTGCACCGAGTATTTCATGTTATTATCTGCTTATTATCTATTATCTATATATTATTATCCATTATTCGCTGTATTATTTGTTAGATCTTCCAAGGTTCCAAAGGTGCAACTTTTCACCGCATGATCCGTAATTGCGGTGAAACCGTCAGTCGGGAAAAAAAAACCTTTTCCTCACCTTTATTCCGAACTTGCCTCCCGCCGAATCCCATTTCGTTTCCCAGGAAAATGCATCAAAGTGACATGTTACAGTCATAATTTGTGGGAAGGTGGAAAAAAACAGAGTGAAAGAATTTTGCAAAGGCTTTTTCAAAATTCATCTGTCACATTCCCATTCAAGCGAGCTCGCGTTCGTGCAGCGATCAAGTTCGCCATGCAAATTTGCATATTTTGCAACAACAAAAAAAAAACAGGAAAGAGCACGGTACCTCTCAGTTTGCCGAGATGTCCTTGAGCTCGGATCAATACCACAATTGAATCTGAATTCATCTCAGCGATTCTGTTTGAAACTGCATGAGGCAAATCCAGCCGACTCTCGGAGAAGCTCTCGAGATCCTGCAAAATCTTATGGGCATAATGAGATCATGAAAGTGACTCGAGTGCCTGAGGAGACGACGAAACTCCGAATATAGCTCCATAAATATGGTAAATAAATAAAGGTATGATAGTGTACCTCGTTCTTGGTAAGCTGATGAAATTCCAAGAGAGAGGGAGGGAATTAATTGCAGCGAATGAGTTACACCAATTCAATCGAAACGACAGGATTTTCTTAGCTGAATTTTCTCTGAATAGGATGAAAAAGTTTGAAGAGGAGTGGGCGTGCCATCTGGCAAAGAGATTCGCGGAATTCAGGGTTGTCACAGCGATTTAAAAAAACGTCATAGTGGGATGGCCAAATCCTTTCGTGCTACTTTAGATTCCTCCCCCCCCCCCCCCCCCCCCCCATTCATCGCAATGAATCATAACGAGAACAGTCGAAAATTTGAAGGAATTTAAACGGATTCATCGCTCTGTCGATAGGGATTGGTTGGAGGAGGATGGAAAGGCTATTGTTGCTAGTGGTCATGGTGGCGCTGGTGCAAGGTGATGGGTGCGACCAGAAGTGTGGGCGGTACCTGGGTACAAAGGGGTACCGGTACTGCTGCATGAATTTCATGAGGAAAAGATCGCCGTTGTCTGCTGTTCCTGATTCCGTGCATCAGCCGGTAACCGTTGTGAAAACGAGGATGGGCCCATTCAATGCCTTCAGGAACCTGCAGTCCCTACTTCACCCGATCGGTTATCGACGCATTCGAGGTCAGTCTCATCCTTTGATCCTTGCATTCCGTCCGCTCCGACGATATAGGAAGGAAAAAATAAATAAAATCCAAAATAATATTTAAAAAGTGAATGTTTAAATGTCCCCCCATGTTTAATGTATTTATTCGGAAATGAGTCCCCCCTCACCACAAGCACTTACCGGAACTCAAACGAAACGTCTTGACAGAAAGGGCCTGATAGGGAACAAGAGTTAACTGAAGTTCAACCAGAGATCCGGAGTTTAAGGCAATTGGCATGGTCGCAATCAGGGGAGAGAGGATGGAAGGAAGAAGAGAGGAGGGAGGTGGAAGGAGGTGAATGAGCTGCTGCCGTATGGGAGTCTAATAATTTATCGGCCCATCACATCGGATAACTTTCCAAATTTCATTGCAGACGTCAATGAGAAAGTTTTCGCTCCTCTGTTGCCTCCGAAAGATGGACGTTAAAATTCTTCCCCTTCTCAAAGTTGAAAGCGTCAATTCCGTCAAGAGGATCTAATTCTGTACTTTAATTCTGTACTTTTATTTTCACATTCCCATGGATGAATATACAATACCAGCCAATGCGGCCGAAGAGATGTGCTCCCCGGGAAGCACATCTCCTCCTCTCCAGTGACCCTTTTTTATAAATATCCTTTAAAGTATTATAGACAGTTCCCTTCATAGATAAGAATTTTCATATCACACAACCATTGCTGTCGATCGTCGCACTGTCGGGACACGATAGGAAAATTTCTTCTAACATTACCAGAGGCATCTGTATTTGATGCAAGGAGCTTCCAAGGTCGTGGGAACTCACAAGAGGTGATCCCATCCTTATGGAACTCATTTCCTATCTAAAGGGTGCCTTGAGGAGGTGGAAGCGAAGGCAATGCGCATTATGAGCACTGATCCCCTGGTCTACGTGATGGCAATAATTGATGCAGATCCATCAAAGTCCCCAGAGACACCAGATATATATATATACATAAATCCTGCTTCATCTCGCAGACTAACATATTGTTCTCCATGTTGCAGGTGGTTTCTGCGGAGGAGAATGCAACGTCTATTACGGGATGCCCTCCTACCGACTCTGCTGTATGAATTTCATGCGTAGGCGGAAGAGAATCCTCCCTTCCTCCATCTAACCGTTCGATCGAGATGAAGCGAGATGTCACAAAATACGAAAAGCATGAATCGGCTCGTGGCGTTTTGTTTGCTTTTAAGAAAGAAATGGCAACTTTATTTCGTCGATACACATGAAAAGGATTATTTTGTCATTCTATGTGTTTTCATCATGTAAATGGAATCGAATCAGTTCGATGATTTCCCCAGAATAAAAAGAAACCCTTCGGCTGGAGCAAGTCGACGAGTCGAATTTCACTTGCGGCGCACGCGGGACCAGAGCATGAAGAATGCGAGGAGGTGGAAGAGGAGGAAGAGGAAGAGAAGCATGGCGTAGTCCAGGGTGAAATTGCATGCGCTGAACGAGTACTTTTCCAGTACTTGAGTCCCGTTGCTGAGGCACGGTGCTTCCCCGGGTTCGTACTCGCACTCTGCACACGTCAATAAGGCATCTCATGCATCACTTCATCTTAACTGACCAGATTTGGTTCTAAAAAGTATGGCCATGAAAAGTCTTCTCTGTACCATAATGAAACCTTCGAATATACTGAAAAAGAGTGTGGTGAGGCTAATTATGGTGATATCGCGATAACGTATAATATTGTTCCTATATCGTGACATCGTTATTCAACTTCCGACTGCAGAAGGAAAAGGTGCATCGACCCGGGAAAGTTACTAATGAAAGCTCTGCTCGCATGCATATGCCTCTAAGTGAAGAGGAATGGAAACCTGAATAAGGGAGAGATGCTTCGTGGGAGGGTCGCCCCAGTGCAATTTGGCCTATGGAGCACTAGAAGAAAATGGAAGGCATCGCCTTCCGGCACCACTTTCACTTGCTCACATTAAGGATTGTTATTCATGTATAACTCTGTTATGCAGTAGATAGCAGAGTGGGAGGAATGAAGTAGGTATGCCTCAATGGCGTCGCTCCCTGATTTGATTTCCCCTTAGATCAACCCCCATCCTTTTTTATTTCTCAAAGAACAAATATTTTATAGAAATATTCGATGAGAAACTCTGAAGGTCTCAAGCATAAAATGCTGATGTTACGTTAATAAGGTCTTGTGCTTTGAACAGATAGAAATGTAATTTCTATCTGCATCTTGGATTTTCTCCGTTACGTTTCCAATTCTGATTAGAGCAACCGGCCATTTAATAAATTTCATTAATGGCTCTTGAGGGCGCGATGGGAAGTGTATGTTGGGGGAGAGAATATGGTGCTTTGAAGGTTTGAACTATACTGCTTTCGTTGAAAATGGTTGCCGAAGCTTGTGAAATATTATTCGCAGAATTATAAAGAAATAATATCCGTGAAATTCGCAGAGCTGAAGGGCAAGTATGACGCACCTTTGGGAAATCTGGACAAACCATTTTTCCATTAGTTCATCCATTCCCTCTACATTTTTCAGTTTGGGGGCTTTCTCAGATGCCTCATTTACTTATTCATGCATATTTTCTTTTCCTCTATTCAAATATTTCCCAAGATATCGTTTCGGCAGATCATGCTTTATCCATTGCGGCTTCCACCGCCTCATCCATATTCCATCGGACGACCGAGAGAGAGTGAACGGGATAAGCACCGATGTGTTGAACTCCGTGCCACTGAAGAGTTGTGAGGGCCTCGTTGCTGTACCGGAACCAGGAAAGGTACTGGGTCCAATTCAGGAACCAAGGAATCGTCCTGCAAATATAAAATACATTTATCGAGGGAGATCATTTACGTACTACCGTATTACCGTCGGTACCATATTACTTTGACTGACAGGTGCAAAATGTGTCAATTTATCTCATCTTGATTGACTGGGGCGAGAGCGCACCGTGGCGAATTCCCAACAGTTCTCCATGGAGACAGGAATCATTTTTGTTTGGAAAAATTTAAGCCGCGAGTACTCGTACTTGTGCAGAGGTTATACCTAGGGCTGTGCCGATTATCGCGATATCGCGATGTTGTTCGATGTGTGTGGCTTATCAGCGATATGTCTGCATTTCGCGATATTTAAATTTTAGAAATAATATTTTTTTTTACTCCTCTATTGTCGCGGGAGAGGGGAAACAAAGCACACGAACCGCGCCATTAACAATAACAACATAGGACAATGTAAAGATTGACTGTCGGCCTAGACAAAAACCGATGAGACGAGGGAGGGAGTTAGTGGATAATCTGAGGACTGCAATCCTCCCCGATGCTTTCTTTTCCTGAAAAATTTCCTTGAGGCGAAATGATGGAAATCAGCTCTCGGACTCAGTATGATGAAACCGCGGCCAATTTTTGTGGATGGAAAAGAACCGGAAACTCATCCCTCACGCTCGTGGAAAGTCTGTCGTGCGGAATGCGTTTAGAATTTATTCTCGCAACGAATGCAATACCCATCCGGAATATGAAAAAGTAGCCGCACTGAAAGGAAGGGAAATTCCAGTTTTTGGGAAAACGACCAATCTCTCGCATCTTGTGACCTCAATTAGATTGTGGCTATAGTCGAGTCTCGCCGCTAAAAGGACCACTCCATCATTCTTTGCAACTTCTTCTGTCTGGGACGAAGTGGAAGCCCAGTTCCGAGGAAATTAGATTCCCAGGCTTTAAACGCATGGCGAACCTTTCCTTAAAAAAAAAAAAGGAACACCTTGCAAACCACTCACGGGCTCATGACTCACAGTTACATTTCGAATCTGACAATCTACCATCGAGTCCATCACGGCCGTACAAGACAATTATCACTTTCCTAGCACACGCGGACAGCAACGAACCTGCAGAAGCAGAGCTGCAGGACGAAATCAATTACATTAATTTCGTTCGATCTTACATTTATAAAGCGGCGAAATGGAGATCGATGACCCGACAATACGGCAGGGTCATAACGGAAGGAGACACCCGTCATTTGCTTACCTGGCTCGCAAATACCTGCGAATTCAAAGAAACGTCCCGTGTGAGCGACTATTTTCGAGATATGGACTTTTTTGCAAACGAACATCGTGCGTGCTTTGCGACAGATATCGTCAATATGTTCTCTCTCCTAGGTTTGAACAACGAACTACCATGATGTCATGCATTCAAGATCATGTCAGAATCATTGCCAAAATAAAGATGTTTTGTCCTGAAATAAATGCGCCATTAATACCAACTGCCCCCCCCCCCGGTTGAACCCTGGCGATATCGCGATATCGGGCGATATATAGGTCGGTGATATCGATACTTAAAAAATGCATATAGTCCAGCTCTAGTTATACCATGATGGTATATGCACAAATCAGAACGAGAAAGAAAAAAGCATCGGAACAAATTAGTCGCAAATGGAAATATTATCTCCTCTTCTGACACCACATTGCTAGAGCCGAGGCATATTTTTTCAGATCGATTCAGTTTTTTCCAGAAATCGATCGTGGAGACGATTACCCGAGCTTCTCAGATCCTTTCTAGGGCATTCTAAGGCATCTTCTTCGATCGTCGTCTTTCTTCAATCGTTACGTGTTGCACGGGGTGGGCGAGTGAAACCAGGGGTTGACTTTGCTGTTTAATGGTTGGGGCAGACATGGTTGGGAGAATCACGCGTTGCCACTGCGCACTTTCGCCCCAACTGCGCGTGGATCGATCGTTGAATTACACCTTGTGATTCTTGGCGATCGGAAGGCGGGGGTCGAAATTCCACTTCGACTGAAGTGGAAATAATAATTTCACAGAACCATTTCTTCCGCCTCTGCTCGATTAAAAGTTATCAAGGGCTCGTGGAGAACCCTTACGCCGAATAACGTGATTACGATCTAAACTGTTCGCGGAAATCCTTGGATCGAAATGGGATTCAACTCGGAGAGGGTTTCGACAGGGTGTCGAGGTGAAAAGTTCGGAAAGCGTCGCATGATGCTTCATATTTGAAGCAGGGAATAAAAATCAGACTTTGCTCGTCCAAGGAACTAAAATATGTGCACAAAATGTACTTGCCGCTTACACATTATATTTGCCCCGAACTCGATGAATTACTGACGCGTGAGTAAAGTCGTAGACAATTAAATTAATGATTGCGAAGAAAAAGTGCCGCATACAATATCAGCAACAAAAAAGTTGCGACTCTTCCTGCACAAAACTTTCTGTGTTCATTTCGTGTGCTTCGAGTTGAGTGGAACCTCAAAAGTGACTTCGCGTGCGGACGCCGGCGGGTCGCGTGGCCCCCGGTGGGTCGTGTGGCCCCCGGTGGGTCGTGTGGCCCCTGAGGCACGCTGGATCGCTGTGACCTACCGATGTCCGCGCAACAAACGTTGGATATTCAAGATAGGGGGACTCGAGGGGAAACATTCACACCGCTAATGGACATTCTTGTTGCATTGTTGCCCTAGATATGCTTTTGGCCTGTTGGGGAGAAATAAGGGAATAGACGAAAAAAAGACTCGAGACTCAACGTGTTAAACCCTTTCAGTTACTTTACGCCCGATCAGAACACGCAAAGTAATCCGGTTTTAATCGATTTACTGATACAGTCGAACCTCCCTGACGCAGGCACACTTGGCACGGACTGCAAAAATAATATACCATTAAAGAACTGAGTTGCAGAACTGATTGAAAATCCCTTCCATCTTTCCTCGATCGCCCTATCGAAACTCCCACGAGTCGTCATGTATTATATCCTAAATGAAGGGAGACTGAGGGACCTGCCAACTGTAAGTAATTCGTCGTGATCGGTGCAAGGAATTTCGAGCAATGAACGAGGAAAGAGAGGGCATTATCCACTCGAGCTCGCTTTTTCTTCGAATGGATTAATAATAACGAATTAAGTATTTCACATGTGATTCACGTGATTTTCCTCAACACGAAGTATGCAAACCGAATCGGGGGTTACCCCCGAATTTGCGTTAAGCAGGTCCGACTGTACCTCGCCCAGATTCCTTCGGGAATCTCTACTGAAGCATGGAATCTTCGGGGATTTTGGGATGTTTAGAATGCATCAACTTGATGCATGCGTCGGCTTGATGCATAAAGCTGATACCTGCATCCTAATTAGCCTGCATCGATCCAACACCCTAGCGACTTGATGAAATCGCCTCCAGAGATTTCATCTTGTCACTGCCTCGCAGTTAAACTTATGTCAAAGTTAGAGTTAAACAAGTTCATAGTTAAACAACGGCCCCATAGTGATGCGGCTTGAGGGAAAGCGGAAAGGAAATTGACGCTTTCAATGGCTCTACCCTCTTCCCCAATTCCGCAATTCTGCAATGCCTCATTTCACGAACTCGAAACTTCGCTCGATTTTTCTGCTCATCTTTACGAGTTTTCCTGCTTCGTTTAATTCGTAAAAAAAAAAAACTCCTGACTGTTTCGAGCGATTTGTATGACCACATAGCCCCTTTTGAAATTAAGATTGTTGGGCAAGTTTTCTTCGTTCATTCATCCCACTCCCTTGAAACCCTAATAGATTTTATGTTGTGCTAGAACGAGTTTGTATATCAAATTTCATTTAGATCGCTCATCTTCCTAGTCGTCCTTTTTTGACGATGGGTGTAGTCTCCAGATGGTTACTATAACAACTAATTTGGTAAGGGATACACCAAACCAAGATGATCGCGAGGTCTTGGACTGTTGGTAAAAGCCTTCTTATGGATGAACATTATCTCTGGGACGAGCATTCTCCCTGGAATGAGCATTCCCACTGGGATGAGCATTCCCACTGGGATGAGCTATCCCACTGGGATGAGCTTTCCCTCTCGGGGCATTCATGTCCAGATTGGGGGGGGGGGAATGAAATTAGTTAAACTAGTTGATTTCCGTTCACCTCTCAGTCGTTTCTTTTATTTCAGACTGCACGTCTGCAAAATGCAGTCCTTTGTATTTAAAAAAAAGCCTCTTCACGTGATTCTTGCCCCTCACCGCCATGCCCTATGAAATGCACGCCGTGAATTCAGCGCGAACGCGAAAGAAAGGCAGGGACCGCGGATCATCCGCGGAGAAAGTTTTCGGTCGAGCTTGGACAGCAGGACGTCATCGAACGAAGAGACGTACGCGTTCTGCAAAGTGCTTGGAGGGACCGCATTACCAATTGAGGACCGATGGAGAGACTGCTCTTTCGACCGGGACAGTTCACCTCGGTCACATATTCCGTAGAGCATGTCGGCCATTGTTTACGAGCTGGGATGCTTTCTCGAAATAATGTTCAGAAAAATCTTTCTGCATCCGGAAGTCCTTACAAGCGAATCGAAGAAAAAACAAACGAGATGGACCGATTTCGGTCTTGGGCGTCACGCGCCAAGTCGGTCGAACGGAAATCACTCCGGTTACGCGAATGGGTCCGATTCCGTGGTCGCAATCATTTCCCGTCGATGCCATTACGGAATCAGTCGAGACGGTCCTGTCGCCCCCCATCGTCTTCGATCCCTCGAGAGCGAATCGCAAAGATTTCTGAAACGCGGGAGACTTTCCGTCTCGGATCGGCGAAGATCGTTCGGGAGGGACTCACTCGATGGAGAGGAAGAAGCCGCCGGTGACGACCTGGGTGAACATGAACGGGGTCAGGGCGATCACCACCATGGACACCGAGTCGAAGCTCGCCGAGAACAGGAACCCTGCACGTAACGATTCCGATTTCGCTTTCAAGACGTTTAAGGAGACGTTTAAGGATACGTTTTAGGAGACGTTTAAGGAGACGTTTAAGGAGACGTTTAAGGAGACGTTTAAGGAGACGTTTAAGGAGACATGCGATCTGTCGGGTTCGTGAGTGAGGAAAAAAAGCCATCAGTCGAATGATTTCGAGGGACCGGGAGTCACGGATTCCGCCCACAATCCACTCCATTGATTAAGATATGGAAAGGGATGTAAATTTCCCTTGTGATTCGATCGAACCGAGAGCTCTCAATCTTCCTAACCGAAAAATACGTATATATAAAAGTATTTACCTGCTGCGGCGGCCGTGTTGGCGACGAGGACGATCCCGACCGCAGTCATGAGAAAGTGGAAAGCGCCGGCCCTCATCCCGGCAAGGAAGTACGCGACGAGCGTGAACACGAACGGCTCCACCACGAACAACGGGATCTGCCGCATCAGACCTTCAACCTTGTAGGGTCGCGACCTTCAACCCCACGAGGCACGAGAGCGGTTTTTTACCTGCGAGATGACCTTGGAGGAATAGTAGGCCGGCAGGGAGCAGACTCCGTTGCGGTGCTCCCGGAGGAACACCGGGAGCTCCCTCGGGAACACCTGCAGCACCGCGTAGGTGCACAGGAACGAGTTCTCCGTGAGGAACACGAAGATGGCGCCCTCCGTGTCCTGGATCCCCCGCTGGTTCCGTCCCAGCCCCATGTAGATGAACCCGATGATCACCGCCAACAGCTCATTCGCGCAGAGACGAAACGAAACCGTCACTTAACCGACCGAACGTACATTTGTCGGAAATGAAACTCCGTATGGTGACAACTAGTTAATGCTCTCACTTTGTTACAATTATTGTGACAATAAAATATGTAAATACAAATGAAAATGATAGACTGATGACTTAAGAAGCCTCTTTTTGCTTTAAAAGCGACTTCGAAAGATACGCGATGGGAACGGGCTCCGACAAAATTCTTTTCTAAAAAAAAAAAAGTTTTTTTTTTTCAAGCTTAAAACGCATAAAAGAAGCACAAAAGACAAGAGACCAGCTTCTGAACGAGCCTGAGCTTGAGAACGGCAGGATTCCGGATGATGTCCATCGCGTCCCGCCACAGCAGCAGGCACACTTGGGCCGCGTACCCCGGCCTCTCTCTAGAGACAAATGCGTCTGCATTAGCCGTGGAGGGTGCAGGGATGCCATCCGAGATGGATGCAGGGATGCCAGAGCGACGGGTGTTTCTTACATCTTCACCTCGAGAGCTGGATCTTTAACTTCCTCCTAGAGAGAGAGGATTTTGGAATCGTCAAGGCTTAACAATATATAAACTTCATGAGATTCAAATTTCGCTCAATAAATATTTAAAACGTCTGGAAGAGATGCCGGATGAATACCCCAGAGTCGAGATAGGACAGATGGATGTTGTGAAAGTACTGGACGACCGCCATGGTCTGCAGCGCGAGGGGGGAGACGGCGAAGGCGTCGCAGATGCGTCGGTTGGAGTCCCGCCACCGGCTGTCTCCCCCTCCGTCTCCCCTGTCTCCCCCTCCGTCTCCCCCCGTGCTCAGCACGTGGAGGTAGAAATCCGCCGGGTTGAAGCTGCTCGGGCATCTGTATCCCTGGCTGGTATTAATTAATAATTAAGAATCAATAATTGATCTACAATAGGTAATTAATCATCAATAAGAGGTAATTGATCATCAATGATAATTAATTAATAAGCAATGATAAGTAATTAATAAGCAATATTTATTGATATGATAAATAATGTGGAGCCATCGGTATTCACTTGGAGTCGTTTCTGCGACTGTATTGCATTTTTCCTGGTTTTAAAGGATTTTTTGCTGAAAAAAGGATTTATACGGCATGAAACCTTCAGAGGACTATTGCCGTTAAAATTCCTTCTAAAAAAGAATCCTCTCACACTCTGGGGAGCACAATCTTGACGGATAATAATGACAATAATGGATAATAATGATTATAATAATGACGGATAATCTTGATGGATTCTTCTTGGAAAACCCTCCGGCGGAGGATTTCGCATCCGGCGACGGGGGCGTTTCGCGGAAAATCCATTCGTGAAAGTTCCCTTTCGCACTCGTTTCGCTGAATATCGCAGGTGCCGAGGGGGCTCGTTTCGCAGAAAAATGTCTCTGATATATCCGGCAGGTTTGAGTGAAGCCACGTCTGTGCCGTCGGACCATAAGTTATACCGAATCTTAAGCCAAATTTTACGCCGAGTTTCATGGCGAGTTTTACCAGCGTTGATTTTTGGTTGGATTTGCATTCCGTGCAAACGAGAGAGAAAATAAAGGAATGTCGGAACGGCAATGGATCGCACCATCATATTTGAATCATATCTGAGTCATGTTCGAATAGCACAAGGAAACTATCGATCCTTCTCTGCGGTTCGTCGTTCGCCTATATATTTCCCAAAAGGACTCCTCCGCAAGCAAGATCTTGAGACGACAAAGAGGAAATTCCGGTAATTGCGGGTGTTATCGGGTATTTTTCGTTATTCTGGGGGCGAGTTTCAGAATTCTGAATCCTTTTTTTCTCGGTCTCGGATCCCAATACCAATACTGCGATTAAATTTTTTTTTAATTTTAGCCTCATGCTTAAAACCCAACAAATGGAAAGCAAAAATTGCATCTGGGTATTCCAAAAAAAAGAGGTAAATCTGAAGCAAAATATGAAATTGTAAATTACAGGCGAGAGTAAAATTTAAAATACAGGTAAATCACTGATTAAAAAAAAAGGCTGTAAATTGTAAAATTTCGGACGGTACCGATGGTACCAATTCAAATTCTGCGAAGCGATTTTCGATCCACCATAAATCCAGATCCGTGATTTCCTGCAGAGAAATGAAGCAAAAATCTAAATAAATAAAAAATCTGAAGCAAAAATCTGAAACGGAGGTTTTTCATCTTCGAGATTCATTTTTGGGACCCGACATGAATTGACCTCAATTGAATTGACCTTAACTTGAGTTGACCTTATCTCGATCTCTTCCGTGGCGACATCGCGCCCCCGGAAAGATTCCAGGAAGAGGATGAATTCCACCCACGTCGTGGAAAGGTTTAATCTCTTAATCCTGATAGCGTCGGGATCAAGAGATCAAGGATTCGAGCTCAGAAATTCTCAGAATGAGATCGTATCAAGAAAATTGCGTCCGACGAGTGGGCTGCTGGTGGAGTTAATTAGTCAATTAGTTGTGTTAACGACGAGGAAATTCGGTGGCGCTCGAAAATTGAAAAGCTTGCGTTCCTTTTTTGCAACATAATTTTTTGCATGAAGCTCCGGCGGTTCCCAGGCGAATCGACCGAAATTATTTTAATTCATCGAACTCCACGATGAAACATGCAGCTACGGATTGTTGGGAGCAAAAAAAAAATTGAAATTTTCAGTGTTTCCGTGCAAAAAATGTGCAGTTTCTGGATTCAGGAAAATCTGATGACAGTTGCCGCTTAGCACCTGCAGTCGTTAAAAAAAATTAATAAAATAATAAAAATAATAATAAACCGGTCTCAACACTTTCCAGGGTTGTCATTTCTGAATCACCATGCGAAATTTCACGTTTGTAACACCAATATTGTGGGAGAAATTCGGAAAATTGTCATTGTTGATCAACTTTTTTTTTTTAAGTCGAGAAATTTGAATTCAAAGTTTTTTCTTGGTTTCATAATAGAAATGAGTCCAAATTTTAATTTAAAACAGCTCTGCACGGCTTCCTGCTCCTCTTGTGCGGCTTTTTCTTTTGACTTTCTGAAGCTTCGTTCTTCTTTCTGCTGATACAATGCATTACTTGGCAAAATGTTCAAAAATGGTTGTTCCTTTTTTTTGCGAAAATATTTGCTATAATCAGAATAAGGGCCAAAAATGTGAGAAATCGTGGTCGCAACATACTGAAACTAGGTTTTTCTGAGAACTGAACGTTGTGAAAATGTCTTGAAGGAAATTTTTTTTGGGGGGAGGGGGGGAAAATTTTCACTTTTTCGCGATTTTCCGCTCACAGTCGTCACGAGCTCTTCCCCGTTCTCTGCGGCACAATACTTGCGGCACAATACTTGCGTCACAATACTTGCGTCACAATACTTTCGTCACAATACTTGCGTCACAATACTTGCGTCACAATACTTGCGTCACAATACTTGCGTGCAGACTACCGAGGACGCCGAATGCCCATCGCGGCCTCATCGGCAGATTTTGCTCTCGTGAAAAGTTCGTTCCATTCCATTCCGATCTGGGATCAGATATCATCCCAGGTTAATGTTTCGTCTCGTCGAAACCCTTTGGCTAAAGCTCCTGGCTTCTTTGCAAAAATCTATGCCTCCCAAAATGATTCGTATGAGGACTGAAGGTAAAAAAAATACTTAGAAGCGGACTCTAGCGGTGCAAAGGTGCCCTCCTCCCCCCCCCCCCCCCCTTCCTCCCCACTCCCCCCTCCTCTCCTCCTTGAGATCTNTAATGCCTGGGTTTCGAAACGCAAAATATCCTCCCCGAATCCTATAGGTCAGGAGACCTATAAGACCCTATAGGGATCCTATAGGATCCTAAAGGATCCTATAGGTTTTTCGTGTTTCAAAAACCTATAGGAAAGTCTATAGGTTTCCTATAAGAAATAACTATAGGTTTCCTATAGGACATTTCCGTAAGGGCGTGGAAACGGCGAGGATTTCGCCTATTCTTAAAGCCGTGGAATATTTTCTTCTCGACCGGTCGAACGATCGCCGTGTCGTTTCATCTGGCCCTCAGCAATTTCAAAAATGAAAGAATTGTGAGGTGCCTTTTCCTCGACTACAGTCCTGCATTTAACCGCGCAGAGAGACATCTTCTGCCGACCCCAACCGAGAAGAAAATTCCATTTAGGCTCCATCTCCTGCAGTGCACGATCTAATGGGGCGAGTACTCCAGTACTTTCTCCCCTGTAGGACTGAAGTACTACGAGGTGGAATCCCATCGCGGTGTCTTCTCGCCGCGGCCACTGACTCTCTGCGAGCGAGCGAGGCCATTTCGTCGCTCGCGGATTCGTGCTCGGCGGTCGCCCTTTCGCGGGAAGTGAACTTCTCCAAGGATCATATCCTTCTTGTGCATGTGAGATCACGAGGTTTAATGAAGATTAAGGAGCGTTCCATCCCTTTGTCCACCGAGCGATACGGACAGAATGAATGACATTAATCAGACGGCAAGCAAACCCATACGCAAACGGAAGCACAACAAAGTCACAGGAGAAAAAAAATATCAACGAAAATAAAAAATAAATATAAATAAATAAAAATACAAAAATATATGAATAAAAAAATACATATGAATAAAAAATACATATGAATAAAAAATACATATGAATAAAAAATACATATGAATAAAAAATACATATGAATAAAAAATACATATGAATAAAAAATACATATGAATAAAAAATACATATGAATAAAAGATACATATGAATAAAAAATACATATGAATAAAAAATACATATGAATAAAAAATACATATGAATAATATAATGAAGGTACCTTTCGAAGAAGCGAAGGGCCTCCGTGGCGTGCCCCGCAAAGGCGACCCGCCCATCCGCAAGCAGCATGATCCGGTCGAAGAGCGCGAAGACGTCGCTGGACGGCTGGTGGATGGAGCAGACGACGGTCTTCCCCCGGCCGCTCAGGTCCCTGAGGATCCCGACGAGGCGGCAGGCGTGGAAGGAGTCGAGGCCGGTCGTGAGTTCGTCGCAGAAGAGGACGGAGGGGTCGCGGAGGATCTGAAGTTTCGATTTCGGTTTTTAGGATTCGTGAGGGTGAGGGTTTTTTTTTTTTTGCCGGGTGAAGATCTGGTGAGTCGGTCGCAGGTCACGATTGGGATTTTATTTTTTATTTATTTCGAAAGTGGCCTGCAAATGGGATTCGTCAATCTGGGTAAAAGGGGAATGCTTTTAAAAATGCATCACCTTTTCCTCCGGCACCTTGGCCTTTCGAATCGTAAATCATGAATGACTTTGACTTTGTTTATGCATGCGCCATCGAATCGTTTGCTAATAATAGGCATCTTCTTCCACGAAATCCTAAATCGCATTTGCGCGGAACCCGCTTTTAAAAAAATCCGGCTCTGTCAGTCAGGATGCCGGAAAACAGCGAAAGAAAACGGGATTCCCGCCGGCAAAGGGCAAGATGATGCGAGTGAAGGCGTTCGTCTTGATTAAACCGAACGGATCCGGTGAATCGCGTGCATGCAATCTCTATCGATGGAATTTTATCGTTTGACTCGGCTGAAATCGATGATGGATCGTCTCGACGCGTCGCAGCTGCTAAAAATCCGGTGATCCGGTGATCCGGCGTGAGAATTTTGGACTCCTCTCTTTAATTGCACTCGTGATAAATTTTCAGCCTTCTTCCCATCGGCCGAACCGACTCCTTCCGACTTAAAAAATAAAAATCGAACGTCGCCCCCGTGACTCCCAGAAAAGCCAGCAAAAAAAAAATACCTCGGTGGCGAAGGCGAGGCGTTTCCTCTCTCCGCCGCTGAGGGACTTGTTGGCGCCGGGCTCCCCGATCAGCGCCTCCTGGCAGGAGCGGAGGCCGAGGTCCTGCAGCAAATGCTCCACACGGCTCCGTCGCGAGTAGGCGGGGGTCCGGCGGTCTAGCTTCAGGCGGGCCTGGGGGAGGGGGGGGGGGAGGGGGACGGGGGGCAATCAGTTTTTCTGCATGTTTCGCCTTGTGCGTTTTTTATCTTTCCTGGTTGTGGTTCAGTGCGTGGGCGGACAGAGAGAGAGAGAGGCGGGTGGGAGAAGGTGATATTGGCATTTGAAAAATGAAAGTTGCAAGGATCCGGAATTGCACGTAGGACGCAGAAAAGATCAGTTTAGCCGGGTTAAAGTTTAACCGCTCCTACCCGGTTATCAACGCCAGTTTTCGCGCTCACTAGATTCACGAAGCGATCGCGAGACACACACCCCGACTCCGTGAGACACACCCCCGACTCCGTGAGAAGGACGACCGCGATGACCAATGAAAAAACCGCTTAACGACCTCTCTTCGGACCGTGAGACCCAATCCTTTCCGCCTTCGATGAGTCCTTTCCTGCCCATTCTCAGACCGTTTCCCTTTCGTACCATACGAACCGTCTTCCGTTCGTGAGTCCCCAAATCACGACATTTCCTAATTACACCCGCGAATCCTCGTGTCTGGATTCGGAAATTTGCTTTCCTGGCTTCTCGTAAAACGACGTAACCTATGAGATGGAATCAGAACGAACAACGGAATTTCCTCCCAACTGAACACAATTCTAGACTCCCCCTTCTCCCTCCCCCTTCCCCTCCACCCCCTCCTCCCCCGCAATTTCCCCAACTTCTCCCCTCTCCTTTTCTTTTTTTTAATTTTATTATTATTATAAATCCAGTATTTTGTAAGACTGCGTCGTTTCCGTGAAGCCGGAAGCCGAAGGGAACCTGATCGGGATCGGAAAGTAGCCATCAGGAAAAAAAAAAACGGAATTGGCATGAGCTGGAAAAAAAAAAGCCATGCGAGACGATGTTCCTGGTCGGGATCTTGCATATTTTAGATCTGAAACATTTATCGTTTTCCTGGTTCAATGCTCTTCGGATAGAAACATTTTTCTTTTTCAACAGAGCCACTTTAATTTTTAAATATTTTTCTCGTATATTATATATCAATACTAGCACACAACGGCTAATTCTGTGCCAAGTTTCACCTTCTACTACTCCCCGATTCACTGGAGCAAAGGAAATTTTTGCAAAACGTCTCCCCCCCCCCCTCTCAAAAAAAATTAATAATAATATTTGAGGAGTTCTCTGGAAAAAGGGCGTATGTGCAAAATATGCAATTCGAGATAAACAATGAAAACTTCCTACAGCTAATCTGAAGCTGGTCAAAACTTAATTATCAGTTAAATGGTATCTTAGACCTTTTTCCTATTGAAATGGGGTTTTAATGAATTTCTTTATCTCACATAGCTGTGATGCTGGCAGAAAATGCTTACGCCCTTTTCCATATCTGCGCTGCTGAAACGTTTTCCAACGAGTCTTTCACAACTTCTTTCCAGTTAAAAATAATAATTAACCAATAAATGCATCACCAGATTTCAAATAAACTTTTCTCGAAGAATAGCAATGAAAATGCGAATATTCGGGACACGTTTCATTCACCAACTATTCAGCAGTGATCCATCATTAAAGTATTCATCATCTGAATCTGCACCTATTTCATGGATTTCTCCAATTTCTCAATGCTTCAATGGCTCAGTCTCTTTCTTTCCCTTTTCTCATGTCTGGTTTCTTCCTCACTTTCACTTTCAGTTTAAAAGGACGAAATAATTCCACTAAAACCGTTCAGCTTGCATAGCTTCCATATTGAAATTGCCAGGCAGTTACCCTGCTACATAGTGAGAGCATAGGAAAATGTACTTCATTGCTGAATACGCATGTTAACTACTTGCTGACCACCCTATCCTATGACTAGTCACCTAAAGCAGCGCATGGACACGGATATGGAAAAAGGGCGTGTGGGCACATACGCCCCTTTTCCAGAGAACTCCTCGATTGGTCCCCGGGACATGTACCTCCAATGTTATATTTATTCTCAACTCATCTTCCTAATAGCTACTTATGTACCAAGTTTCAGGTTTCTACCGTATTTAGAACACGGTTAGAATCAGCGTCAGTCACTCGATCAGTCAATCACGATCGTCTATATACAGGGTGGGCCAAAAGTAGGAAAAGTATTTATATTTTACTTTTTGTATTTCTGACTTTTGAGCGAAGAAAATGGCTGTTACTGGGGAAGTAATAAACAAATGGTAATCAAAGTAATAAATAAAAAGTAATTGTAAGTCATAAGGAATAACGTGTTTTCAACTCGGGTGACATTTTTTTTCCCCGTTTCCCGTTTTATTTCCCATCTTTCGAATATTCCTTCCGGGATGGCTGGCCCCCCCGCCCGAGTTTCGTCGGATCGAGTTCTTTTCGCAAAAATCTGGGAAGAATCCGAGATGCCAAAACGATTGCGGGATTTCAACGGTTTCTTGTTTTGCCTTCTACTATGATTGGATCGTCTGACGGATTACCGCGTGCTATTGTTCCCTCGAGAAGATTACCTCGTAACGGACTGCGGGAAGAATCGGATATTCCTTGGAAGGCGAAATCTCCTTATGAAGGGTTTTCGACTGACATCACGGAAGAAAAGCTCACGTTTGTTTTACGTCTACTTCCTGTCGTCCTTCCTTCCGGGTTCCAAACGAGGTGCCTCGAGAGTGAGGTGCACTCACCATGAGAGTGAGGTGCTCCCTGGGAGTGAGGCTGGGCATGAAGATCTCGTCCTGGTAGACGAACCCCGAGATGGCGGGGATCCTGGAGGCAGCGGGGCATCCGTTCGCGAGGATCCGTCCGTCGACGATGACGCCTGGCCCCTGGCGGTGGGCCAGCGCCCCCACCAGCGACGACTTCCCGGCTCCGCTGCATGCGATGGGGCAAAAAGCGGCGTTTCGGGGGAACGTGGGCTCGAACTCGGTCGCGGCGAGGTGCTCACGACGATTGACCATCGCGACCGAGTTCGACGGCAGAAACCCGTACAAAAATCTCACAGGTTATTCACCGTTGAATCAACAGCGGGTGTTGAATAAACCGTCCTCTGACAGCTTGGGAGAAGGGGGAAAAAAAAAGGGGGGGAAAAAAGAGGGGAATCCCCGATATTTATCTGACGCTCATGGGAAAGTTCCCCTTGCACCCTCGCGCTTGTCTTTGTCATCCTTGCGAGACCCGGTCGAACCATGCTATTCCCCTCCTATCTCGGTAGCCGCCAGGACTGCAAGCCAGTCTCTCCCGGTTTCAGTAGTTCGACTTAAAGATGTTGGATCGCGATTGGTTCCTTTGACGCCGGGCTAAGCTCATCTCAGGATCAACTTTCAACCGTTCGGCTCGGAAAAGACTAATCCAAAAATGCATTCCGAATTCTGAGACCGATAGCCAGACCGACAAGTCGTGAGCCAACATCGCTCAGACAGAAATTTTCGCCGACGATTTCACGAAGATGATTCTCTCGTGCAACTCGCGTTTTCGTTCTGTGATGAAACCCAAATTGACCCTTGAAGCCGGTCACTTAACGAGGCGCGGAAAATTCTCAGCGGCGGCAATGCATCCACGAGATGCCATAGAAGTGCAACCGCCATCCTGGACGTCGCCGCCACGTCGAGCCGGCTTCGAGGGTTAATTGTTTTTTTTTTTAAGGGTTAATCTTACATCTGTCATGTGAGGCGAGAATCAATGTTTCCGTGGTTGCTTCATCTCCAATTCGTTGTTTAAATCGCTTTTCACAGTACTTTTCCATAAATTTTGCTGTAAATATATTATTTACGTAAATCACCAATTGTTCAATGGTGAATAGTGTTGAACCCCTGTCGAATCGACGTTGAAAACCGTTGATTCGCCGGTTTCAATTTCAGAGTTGAAATTTTTTCTGTACGGGAAATCACGGTGGAACGACGAGAGCCGTCGGGAACGTTCCGGCGTTCCCGTTCTCTCCTCACCTGGCACCCATGATGGCGAGCAGACTCCCCGGCTGCACCGCCCCCGACACTGACACCAAAAAAAAAAAATTAATTCTCAAAATTCACCAATTATTTAAATAACTAACATTCAAAAATTTTCTTAATGGATGAATTTCCTCAGAAACCGTTATTGATGATGCGTCGAAACGGCGGTCGGCGGACGTCCGCAGCCTTCCGGCGGGAAATCTCGAACCACGACCGCCTCCGTTCCGGCACGTACACGCTGACGTCACTCCACGTGATCGTGACGCCACGGGTGTCGTCTGCCATCGACGTCGTCGTCCAGAGCAACTCGCTCGGGCTCTTCCGTCCCATCGGCACCAGCTGATATTCGGGCTGGGGACGGAAATCCGAGGGAAACGGCGATTTTTGCGCGAGTCTTTTCCTGAAGAGGCTTTTAGTCTTAAGCTTATCTTTGAATTACATATTGACGAAGGCTGCAGAAGTTTAATAAATAATAATTAAAGTATAATAAGCAAGTGGAGAAACAGTGCATGCCGAACTCACCATGACCCCGAGACTCGTCACCGGCAGTGGACACAATCAGACTGCCACTAACGGGAATTCTCCTCCAGTGGCCATGTATGGGGAGGGGGGCACGGGGGGCAGGGGGCAGGGGGGGGGGGGCAATCCGATCTTCCTTCTTGCAGCTTGCAATCCGATTTCCTTGAAATCCGAAGCCATCGCCATCATTGAGTAGAATTATCTCCAGGTAATCTTACCCTATAGTTGTGATGGCTTTGTTGGCCAGAAGGCGGCCTAAGGCCACCCATGTCGAAAGAGGTCACCGGGAGAGAGAAGAAGTACCGAGAGAGAAGTACCGTAAGTCACTCATTACCGGTTTTTTATTTTTTAAGGAATTCTCCGAATTTTCCGCAGGATTCTCGAAACCCGCGAGGAGGAAAGGCCGACGGGAATTGCCCTTTCGCCGACTCCATCCGGCCCACTCCATTCGTTCGCGGATGATTTTAATCCGATTTGCAGCTTCGGAGTTTTATTTTCCTCGATTTGAATGAAAGATGAAAGAGTGCTATTAAATTTCCGAGATGAATTATTAAAAAATCATGCATTCATAATGCGGAATTTCGTAATTCATTCCCGGTTGAAAAAAAAAAGCCTCGAAAGCCCCGCACAAAAACAAAAATAATAGAAACCACGAGCCGCCAATTAATTTAATTTGCCGTAACAATTCCGGGCTCCCTGGAAAGCTCCCAGATGCACCTCGAAACGCGGGAACGAACGCGAGTTCGTTAATTCGATGCCCCTCGCATCCAAAAGCCTGCGGAAGTGCTTTACTTCATTATTTAAATATGGAGGGTCCCGGCGGAGATTCCTTGAAAGGGATTCGAGTCTCTCTTCTCCCATCCGCCTCCACGCCGCCGAACGGATTGAGTCGCTGTTTCTATTCGACATTTCTGGCTGCTGTTTCTTGTCGCTGTTTCTGGCCACTATTTACGGTTGCCATTTCTGGTCACCCTTGCGGGAACAGGAGAAACATTCTAGTGCAAATACAACTCCATGCCGTGTTTCTCTACGAGAAAAAAAAAAAGAAGTTAACTAAAAAAAAACGAGCACGAGTGACTCTGGTATGCCTCGGTCATGGAGTCCCCGTGGGACGACAAAATGGGCTTAACCTGCTCTACGACTTCCATGAACTTAGTTGCCTAATAGTACATTGTATAGCCTAATAGCCTTAGCCTAAGAGTACTGTTCTGGTAGGATCACGATACGCTTAAAGCACTAATCAAAAGTCCAGTGAACTGGGTGTGTTTTCGATCGTGCAGTCTTTGTTCGACGAACTCGAAAGCAAAAGTAACGGGATCGTCGTGAAGCAATCGGAGGGACGTGGAAGACTCTGAGATGTGAAGAACGCTTCTCGGGTTCATGCTTTTGTGCCGATTCTGGAATCGCGAAGCCCTGAAAAACCGAATAGCAGCCGGAGGACTCGACGCTGTTGCTCTCTGCATGATAGATTCGAGGAGTTCCACGAATCTCCGTATTTCCTTCGGGAGATCCCGAAGCAAATTTGGTAGTGCCGATTTCCACTTGAGCAAAGCAAGGCCTAGGCTGGAGAAACTCGATGGGAAGAAGGACGGAGGCGGCAGAGGCGCGTGATTGGCTGGCTGGCTTCCCCGGCGTAGGGCTCACGCCGGAAGGAGGAGGACCGCAAGTCGGGTCGGGTGGACTCGGGCTCGAAGGTGCGGGTCCAGGCCCGGAACTCTCGGCCCGGCAAGTCTCTACCTCGACCTGGGGAACGTTCGTTCTTTGCGGGATTCGGAGTCGGCCCGCGCTCGAAGGATCAGGCCGATCGCTTCCGTGTCAATCTCTGATAAGATAGCTCCGGGGGGTTCTTTAATTGAACTCTTCCGAATCAGTTTCAGAGACTTCAATAAACGAGGTCGGACAATAAGGTAACGAGACTGAATCTGTGAAAAAAAATTGTATCGCGAACATTTAGTGGATTTAGTGGTCACCTTCGAAGTACTCTCCTTTTGACTTCATGCACACATCCCAACGTCTTCGTCATGCCTGGAAACAATGCTGGAAATCATTTTCTGAAAGTCCTTTCAATACTGCCATCACTTTGCTCTGAATGTCTTCAATTGATTAAAAATGAGATCATTTCAAGGAGGTTTTCAGTATTGGGAACAAGAAAAAGTCGCATGGGACAAGTTCAGGCGAGTACGGGGGATGTTCCAACATTGTTCCATCATTCCTTGAGGACCTGAATAAAATTAAATTAACACACGCACACTCAATCAACCATTTACACATCCACCCACTCATCCACCCGTCCACTCACCCATCCATTTATTCTATTGAAGTACTGGAGTAGTGGAAGATCAATAATTCATTATCCAACATGACTTATTCCCTGGGTGCGCTAACACTAGATGGTGTGTTTTAAATATGGTGCCGCCCATGACTGGGGGGAGTCGCACATGAGGGGGAGAATGGAACAAAGCCATGCCTTCACTGAATTGTACAATCCTTCTTCACGTGGGGCTCCCTAGAAGAGTGGGGCCAGGGGCAACGGCCCCCTTTGCCCCCCCCCCCCTTAAGCCGGCCCTGACTTCATGATAAAACGTATCAGGTCAAGGGTTAATGTTGGCTATTTATCCTGTGACAGCAAATGCCAAATTTGATTTTAATAGGCCCATGGAAAGCGAAGGCCTAGTCTGAAAGAAACTTTATAACAGGCCTTTCAGGCTGCCTGGATGCTCCAAGTAGAAACTTCAGCATATCGATTACTTACAATATAATCATTCTCGGCCTTAAGAAATCCCTCTGGCAAAAAAAAATGAATTTTCTTAGTAAAAACAGTTTCTATCTGCATGTTCCCATAAGAAACGCTTTGAAGCTTGCGCGCTTGACTCCCCCCAGCTCATTTTTCTGCTTCCTGCTTCTGCTTCCTGCCGCCAGATGTCTCCAACTTAATGCACCCAGCGAATAGGAAACGAAGCTTTTTTTAAAATAAAAATTTCATACTCTAAAGACTTGGGAAGAATAACGGGACTTGCACATGAGTTCACCAATGGCCAGCACGTTTACCCGACGTGACCAAATTCGGGATGATTTCTGAAATGAAATGATCATGCGAAACATTGTCATAGAGAGCTTCAATACCGAGAGAAAAAAAAAAGAAATGCCGTGCAGGCCTCTGCATCAGTTGGGCGACAGCATTGCTGCGTCTTGAGCCATGGTGCCCAATACGTTCGCCACTCGCCACGTGTGGCGAATCGAGCACAAACATGTGGTGAATCGGTGCTCTTCATCAGCTACATTTTTTCTTCAGGTGCATTTTTTTTTATTACTAATATTGCTTTTTTCTCGTCTGGCGAGCATCGAAACCTTTTTGGACACCAATGGTCTAGAGGCGGAAAAGCGCCTCGTCATATAATGCAGGGTTTCATCAGGCTAGGCCTATTCAAGGAACATTTCCCCTTGGTTATGACAATCCTCCCCCCCCCCCCCCCCCCCCCCCCCCCCAAGGC